AATTATATACAGGTGTAATATTTATCTAATAGGATTAATGGGACGTAAGTTACGTATCCCCAACCACTACGTACTTGAATGTGCAATTTTAACTATAGCAGGAATGTGTTGGATAAAAATTAGGGATGGTCAAACCCATACAAGTCATCGATCAATATAATTGGAATATGACGTGTTGTTAGGTGAAGGGTGCCTAGTAGGGATTCACGAGATAACCTGGATCGGTGGTTTGAGACGTTAGATAGCATATGTCAGAATAGATTACATTGTTTATATAGTTTCACTATGTTGATGCGGTAATAACAAATAACTTTGGCTGATCCATATTTGTGCGAGGCTTCATGTTGAATACCTGTGATTGACTGTTACAGTGATGAAATAAATAGATTAGTACATGCAGTAACAAACAAAAGATCATAAACTGGACAACATCAAAGCAACTATTTTGAACTCACTGAACGTTTTCCACAAACACTAGATACATTGACGATGGAACCTTTGGAAGCAGCAAGATCTGGGATAGCCAAATTAGTTAAGGTAATCGCAGCAGTTACATTCACTTTCATTATATGTTCATATTCAGTAGCATTAAAGCTTTCGACAGTATCTCTTATCATACATCCTGCGTTATTTACCTGAAATATTTGTTTTAAAATGTTATCTTGTAACAGAATCACCAACAGATAAAGGTCGCTAGAAATTAACCTGGTAAGAAACAAGAAAATTTCAAGGTTTTTCGCTGAGGATTTACATCAACTTAGTAAATATTGTAAACCGTAGGAGCACAAAACAGTTGTTTCATATTAGTGAGAGGCTCCTCAACGGTTTATAACCAGGACCTTAACACAAAACATGAAAATTACTAAGTTGGAATCCAATGATCGACATTTCCAACTTCAAATGATATCACTAATGTTAGTGGTGGGGAAATGTTTCACTCCTGAAACGGTTCAACTCCAACAATCACGGTTTACTACTGGTTAAAAAAAAGACTGACTTGTTGAGAACAATGTATGACCGCTCGATCGACAAAAAAGCTTAAATTCATTCCTGGAAACATGTCATGGAATTTACTAAACTTTAGTCAATCTTCACAAGTAAAATTTAGATAAGACGATAATTAATTTGACTATGCATATATTTTAGGTATTGAGAATTTAGGAAATATCAACACATAAATTAGAAAGTGTAACCGACGTTCTGTTGGGACTGACCGTAGTCAGTAATTTGTTTTTATAAGTAGTTTCAATGACTACGCACATTTATGACATAGCCTTACAACTTAAGTCATTTTATCGCTATTTGAGCAGCATACATAATCACGACTTACTAATTTCACTGTAGAAACTGATCATACTAAGGAATGCACGTTAAGTGCTAAGACTTTATGTAACAGGCATTTGTTTAATTGTTTTGATAATTTTCAGAATCGACACCAGGACCACCTTGTCGATCAAGTAACCGGGGTACTTGGTAGTTTGCAAAAGTCTTCACTTGGTTTTACGTAACCAAACAGCGGTACTGTGAAATCTCTGTTGTCGCTTTGATTACGGGTCAAAGACATTCACGACATTTCCTGTTTCTAATTACTTTCGCGCTGTGTTTCAAGTTCATGATGTGTTAGAACGCTGGTACTACATCTTGCAGCGTCAAGCACATATCCAGTTTCACAGGTGATAGAATTCGAGTAGACTTCAGAACCATGTGACTGAAGTCCACAAGTCAGCAGGCATGCTTATCGGCGTACGACAATGATAGTTTTTCTTGACTTAAAAGCAGCACTTGACCGTAAACCAAGAGGTCCTGTGGCAGTGTCTGTTATTGAAAGGTGTACCTCAGAAGTACATAAACCTTATGAAGGCTCTTTACTGAAACACTACCAGTCGAATTAGAGCTTATGGCGAACTATCACCTGATTTTACAACCTCAAGTGGTGTCCGACAAGTCTATCAACTATCTCCACTTTTGTTCAACTTCTTCATAGACCTATACTGGAATTAACCTTCACGTCGACTGAATTTTCGGGCATTGATCACTTTTCAGGAAATCCACTTATTGACCTAGGATACGCAGATGTCATAGTCTTGTTTGGTGAAGACGCTGATAAAATGAAGTCTTTTGGTATCACTGAACAAAAATGCTAGGATGTTTGGGATGCGTTTCCCCCACTTTAAATGCAAGTTGCTGCTTCAGGACTGGTCTGCATCAGTCAACACCTGAACTAAGGATAGGGAGTGAAGTAGTCGAACGCGTCGACAACTTCACTTATCTTGGGAGCCTGATCACTCCTAATGGGTTAGTGTCTGGCGAACTTTACTACATCATAGACATATGAATCATTCGGCCATTGAAAAGCTCACGGGCATCCTCCTTGTATGTGGTAAATAAAAAGGGCAACAATGATTGGCATCCAACTGGTGACTATTAGTGACTGATTGAACAATGCTGACTAGTGTTGAAGACGGATGGTAGAAAGTTAGGGGCGGCCAAGCCAAAACGTGGCATCAGTCCTTGAAGTCACTAACTTCTGGTCTGATAGATGCAGACTACTTGGTTGGGGTCTGTGTGACTATCGTAACCCATGGTTGGAGACTCTTGGTGACATGGCTCAGAATCTATCATAATGGTGTACGTTTACACACCCTTTGTTTTCCCTTAAACCGTGAGATTAAAATTCCTTTATATCTTTCTTTCTACCAACTAATATTTTCTTCTTGTACTATATCCTTATACACAATGTTTCTTTTATATATTACTACCATTGAAGTAACTACTTCTGCGAATTTGGTGTTCATTATGTGCTAATGAGGTGTGACAACTTGGAACGATGCATATGTGTACCTGGTCCTACGTTGCAGCTGACTGAAATACGTGAAATATGGTAAATCAGTCTTGAGACTGAAATATACTTCCGAAATGTGTAATTCATATAATGCATATGGTAGTTTCGGAAATTCAAACACTCGCTTTATAACACTCTCACTAACTAAATCACTCATGGAATCATTTATTTTTAGTTATAACACTCTATGATTGGCTTACAGCCTCTACTTTACCCAGTGTGAGTTAAAGAAATGAGAAGATAATGGAACGAAATAGTTGACTAATAATGTAACAGACTGACATTTGACATTTTCTTGACACTCAATGATTGAAATTCTTAAAATTGTTTATTCTAATCTACGATGGAGTGATTTGGCGAAAACTAGTGGTTAGTGAAGATCCCATTGGAACCTCTTATTTACCAACTCAAACTGTGGTAGTACAAACTGGATTTCGCTTTGCTTGGAGTCAATATAATTTCAGTAAATATAGTTTTCATTTAAGTAACTTATCAGTTTCAAATAAATAATGATAAAATTGTGGAAGATGAAGATCAGGAAATTATGGTCATCTTATATATATTTTTAGAGACTAATTTCCAGCTTTAAAACTTCTTAAAATCTAAATACTGGAAAATACAATGAATAGAATAACACATACCATTGGCAGGTCATGAAATATGTCAAAGCTTCTCCATTCTGCAGTGACAACCTATTAATTGTTCATCCACATCTGATTATTCTCAGGGCTATATTTCACAAACGTTTAAGATCGAATAAATGTCAATAAAAAAACGTCCGTCAAGTAAGTAGTTAATACAAATAAACTGACTATTTACCCACGTAAATATGACCTGAGAAATCAGTGGCAGACTAAAGAGTTAAATTACCAATATGTCGAGTTGGTGAAAGTGATTTATTGCCAATCGATATGCTTTTTCAACTTCACATGGTTCAGCCAAATCAGCCTCAATGCACAAAAAAGGCTCTTTGTATTTTTCATAAACGTCAGGATGAGATATTTGGATGCACGCTTGTCGAGTTTCTTCCAATCGTGACTTATCCCGAGCAACCAAAGCAACACACGCTCCCAGTTTTGCAAACAAAATAGCTGTCGCTCTTCCGATTCCTGAACTTGCTCCTATTGGAAAGAAAATTAGACTCATTTTAGTTCTCATATATTTGTAATTTTCTGAACAGATTTGTATGGGTGATGGGTGCGTATGTGATTACGTCAAACGCACTAACCATGTATAATTTTATGGAATAAGCTTGGTGTATAACACTCAGATATTATAGTCTGCAGACCTTAATAACCTTTCGACGTAGTTTTACCACTGTAACCTGACATATCCAACTTTCCTACCCCGTCATTAGAACACGAAGTGCTGTATTATAGCTCCCATGATGGAAAGGTAGTGCCTTAAAAGATTCATTTATGCATTTCACATTAACAAGTTCATTGACATACCACATGTTGCGACGAATACATACTGAGGAGAGTTTCACACATCTTTTCTGTAATCCTTAAATTTCATCTCGAAAGAGCAGAGGAGGGACTACAAAAGTCCAAGTAAAATATGGGATAAATACTAACACTAAATAAAACATCATTCTAGGAATGCCTACCACCATATTTTAACGAAGACAGTGACAGCCGTCCGGAGCCGACTTGAATGTTGTGTTGAAAACCCCCACATCTTCACACCCACAGGCATACTGAGATTACCAAGGACTAAAATGAGTCCAAACAAAAGATGCACATAGAGACCGGTAGGTGTTTTGTTACTACACATGATATGATGCAACGTAGAAAGATGAGGGAATTAGACCGTCATAAATAGCAACAACAAGTCTTGTCGTAACATAAAGTTTCGTAATACTGTAACAAGTGCCTAGCCCATTAATTTTAACGCAAGCATTTCGCTAGCACTTGCAGAATTAAAATACCACAGTTACCTGTAATTATAGCCACTTTTCTTGACAGAGATATCATATCCATTCCTGTACAAAACATAATGAAGAGTATACACTGAAAAATTTAGTCCACTTTATGAGTTCCAAGTGTAATAAAAAGATAAAACTGGTTTTAGAAACTTGATGTATTTGCAAAGTACAATTCAAATAACTTGGTCAAACTTCTCAGTATATTTATTAAAATTAGAAGTCAATCAAATAGACGGCTGACATAACTGAACAAATAAACTAAAAAGAATTTCGAAGACAGCTATACTGATAAAAACTAGTTTTTACATTATAAATGCAAGTCACGTCACTAAAAGTTAAGTTATTAAGAAAGTATACAGGATTTTAAACTCAGATAAATGCATACAAGTATGTAAGCCTCAACTTTGTACATACAGGCTGAATATCATGAGAGCTGTAATAAGGACAGGCTTGTAGACTCTGGAGTCAGCCACTTGACATCCTCCTTATGGAATAATAGTCGCTTGCACTCGCATAAATTTTGTCCCATTAAATATGTTTGGCGACAGCGATGTAACCACACGAATTCCGTGGAATTACGTGAAACTACTTCGGTTGGATAGCTTTTCATCCGCTCACAGCTATTTGGTCCAAAACACAAAAGTCGTCTAGATTGTGATAGTGTTAACTACCTTACTCACTTGCAAGAACATTCATCTTCGATGTCTTTGCACTTGGCCCGTAGTCTAGGTGAAAGTCCTCTGGATGTCGCTTCAATTGTTTCTTCTTCAATTGGTATTGGGCTTGAGACAGTTTTTTCAACAGAATCCAAATCTCTTTTACTATGCTTATGTTTAATTAGCTCCAGAGGGTCACGTTCATCTTTTTCTTCCTCATCGTACTCTTCGTCTAGAGATGGCAGGGTTTGCCAATTATTAACTAACGTTAAACTTACATACTTTGATAACCCCTACTCCGAGTAATAACAATACAAGTAACCTATCTCTCATTTCATCATTGGAATCTAAACCCCGCTGATGAAAGATGGCCTTGTGTAGTAGGGTTAAACAGCGTTTCGATTTATTAAAAACACTTAGTACAAATTCGTGTGGGGTGGGTTATTTTTCTTCTCGTATCGTTGAGATCTTAATAGTTTGTATTTTAGTTAAAGCATAAGACTCTTAGTCCTGACATTTCTCATAACATGTCATTCTGGTCTGGTAATACTGATGTCTGGAGGTGACTTTCACCGGCATGGCGTGATAACACACACTTGCGCGATTCTTCGCAATAATGAAATCACTTCAGGGAGATTTCAACCAGCACGTCATACCCAGTGTTCCCACTTCATAAAAGGCTATCTTTAAACGGGAAAACCTAACAGATCAACAGTTTATATCATTTCTTCGACAATATACGATTGAACACGTCTCAGCAACGAAAACATTACTATGTACGTGTGGGCTCATCAATCAACAAACCTTTAATGAGGACCCCTTTAAGAAATTCTTTTAATCTAAGTTTTCCCAACGGTTCAAGCCGTTCTTGTATTATACCAAGATAACTCCATAGACGATCTGGCTGCATTTGTCAAACGAATTCTGGTAATCACCAAAACCCTAAACACCAAGGTTTGTTTCGTCAAAAAAGGCTCCAAATAGTATTACAGACATACATAATGCACTCAATTGCTTTCTCGACACTTGTCATGATCCCAGACACTACTAAAATTCCCGAAGAAGCCCTTACGAAATAGATCTCCAGCTAGACCACGAGAAACAAATAAATCGAGAAGTTCCTGAGGTACCCCCAGTTTCCCCAACCTCTAACCTAGCAACGGTCCGTACCGAATTGCGCGTCCCCCGTGAGACCCCTAACAGCTCGACTTCGTGTAGATGTAGAAACCATCAACTGGGACGACACCATGAAGAACGCGTTCGTAATACACGTGAAAGCCATTGCAAAATCAACGAAACATGCACTGCATGACAAAAAGCATTTGTCGTTATCTCGTGAGCGCATTTAAAAGGAAAATGAAAGAATTTCATATCGGCTTCACCGCAGCACAACTCAATCATAGAATGATATCTCGGCTTTCTTGAAGAATTCATAAATCCTTCATCACGAATGTGAGTCCAAACTCCTCCACGAACGTGCTCACAAACGACGTACGTTTAGTTAAGCCTGTTTCCACTCGATTTTAGTTGACTGATGCTTTCGTTCAACCTGAATTATGATATAGTACAAACGTCCTCGTACATCACGGAGTATTATGATGACCTCTCAAAATGGCATACGAATGACACTTCAAAGTCCTTCATGGAACATCTAAGCACTATATCATCGATAAGAACAGGACTGACGACAACATCAGCGTTGATCGTCTTATAGTCACGTGCCTGGAATGGTACCCTACCGATTTTGACTTTTCTCCGACACAATCAAGCAACACAAGCTCCACAATTACGATACCTCACTCAGTAATCAACAGTCATGAAGAAACCATATAGGTATCCGACAACTGACCTAAAACGCATTCTGGAAGGATAGTGGGGTTTCTGAGACAATTAAACGTATACTCCACGTAAGACAAAACGTAACAATTTGTTTTATCTCAGTTTTTTGTATTATCGTGTTAAGAAAAACAAAAAACAAACATTTGTTTACTAGTATGCTCATATATGTGCACACACAAAAAGTTATTATGCGAAAATTGTTCCAATTCTGTTGCATGTTATCCGAACGCTTGTATGAGGGTTTATTTTGCATTTTCGGCAGTGAATTCAGACATACACTTACAGCTTTTCTTTTTCTTTCCAAGATGGCTGGAAAAGATGGAACAACCGATGAAACTTACGATGAACCAAAATATTCATAATGCCTGTTTTTAATTACCATATTGTACCACATGGCCCCTTATAGTAAGGAAAGACGACCAGACACTGGTGTGCATAGCAAGCTACCAGAAGAGTGTTTATCAAATACAAACGCAACATGAGTTACGAAGTAGTCCTATCGATTTCAAATGGGTCTTTAAAGAGGAAACTCGGGGCAAATCTGAGGACTCAAAACAACACATCGTATTAACGTACTAGTACTTCCTCTGTCTCCTCTTTTCATCAGTCATGATCTCTCGCCTGATGCTTTGGTGATTTATTTGTGTCAGGCCCATGGGCTCACTAGGCGAAGTATTATTGTATTTCGTCTAAAACCATACGAGTCTAAAAAATTTTACGTTCTTCCCGATGTAAGTGCTTTTAGAGTCGAATTGAAATCGACAACCATGGAAAGTATGTTAGAACTGTTTGATGAGCGATTTACTATACCTTTTTGTGAATATTTATGCATAACCCCGTACACGTCATTTGAAAAATATATAAGTGCTTTCAAGTAAAGTCTGACAAAATGTAATCATCAGAAAACGGTCAGCAATGGTCTAAGCATTCACTCACATATATGTATCGGTTGAAGTTGCCACACCTCATTAGCACATAATGAACACCAAATTCGCAGAAGTAGTTACTTCAATGGTAGTAATATATAAAAGAAACATTGTGTATAAGGATATAGTACAAGAAGAAAATATTAGTTGGTAGAAAGAAAGATATAAAGGAATTTTAATCTCACGGTTTAAGGGAAAACAAAGGGTGTGTAAACGTACACCATTATGATAGATTCTGAGCCATGTCACCAAGAGTCTCCAACCATGGGTTACGATAGTCACACAGACCCCAACCAAGTAGTCTGCATCTATCAGACCAGAAGTTAGTGACTTCAAGGACTGATGCCACGTTTTGGCTTGGCCGCCCCTAACTTTCTACCATCCGTCTTCAACACTAGTCAGCATTGTTCAATCAGTCACTAATAGTCACCAGTTGGATGCCAATCATTGTTGCCCTTTTTATTTACCACATACAAGGAGGATGCCCGTGAGCTTTTCAATGGCCGAATGATTCATATGTCTATGATGTAGTAAAGTTCATTTTAACCTAGCCCTAGCTTTTTCAGCGATAGTTGACGCGCTTTTGACATATGATACGTACCATTCCTAGTTACACCCTGCAACATTGTCCGCGTTTGGTATACTTCGGGGTGTAGTGGCATGCTCTGATCACCATATAGATGGCACGTAGCAAGCCATCAGCGATAGTTGTGGAAGAAATTAAATGCCACACAATCACGTAACAAGTTGGTAAATGAAAAGATATCAATAGACTGTCATTGATTGCTGACGGAGTTTGCCGCCATCCATTGGAACTCAAATACTGAGCGAGTTGGTAGTACTCCCCTGGACTGCGGAGACAGAACGTAGGTGTATTTGATTGATAGATTATTTGAACCAACGTTCCTACGGGAGTCGTCTATAAAGGAAGCTAATGTAACAGCTTAGATTGTTTAGTTAAGAGTTGACGTCGAACAACTAGTGACTTCGCCCTGCGCTATCATTACTGTCTCAGATGTTCCAGAAGGATGTAAGGTCGCAGGGTCTAGAATCTCTCAACTTTACATGGATTTACTCTCGACCATCAGTTGCACATCACAACGCCACCTCTAGAAAGCGCGACAACTGTCATAGTGACAATACGAGTCTTACTAATATTATTTGTATTCGTATTTGAGCAGTGCTGTTGTCCATAATTCTATGACCAACGTGCCTTATAAAATGTCGACCTAACTGAGTAACCCACTATAGTGAAGACTGTTCTTCTGTAACAATCTGAACTTGACTGTAACTGGTGTGCCCCATACAACAAACTGCTATTTGAGAATAAATTATTATTATCTGACTTACCGTATACCATTATTGTATATTTATATATATTGTATATATATATATATATATATATATATATATATATATATACATTTGGCTAGACTTATCCGAATCACTACTCATGTTGGGATATTGGTCATTTCTGTTGTGTCTGTAAGACCTGATAGATGCTGTTCGGCTCAGCGTTTTGTTTCATTAAATTTGTAATATTGTTGCAGTTGATTGTGTTCCAACTGATTTCAACGCTTATTTGCAGAACATCTTTATTGTTAATGTTATTTTACGTAATGAAATAACTTTTTTTGTTATCTGTACTTCAATGTGTCCATAGGAAGGTGTTGGTTCATTTATAGAATTAAAAAGCGATTACTTTTGAGAAATAACACACCCTCCCGGAAGTTACACTTAGGTAAGTACAAGAGACAAAATTTTCCAATTATTGTGAAATGTATTGAGCTGGAATCATTGGAGTTTTTGACAGAAACTTAGTAGACTGTATTAAAAGGCATGGTTTTAGAAAAATCTGTATTACCGGCGAAAGATATGTAGGGCTTCCTGAGGGATCAAACTATTTAGTGATACCCTACAGTAAGGCGTTTATTCATGTTTTGATTTAGACTTCCAGATGACCCGTAACCAAATGATGCTCTGTGAATGGTATGTTCAGCTGAACCTCTGTGATGATTATTGGCCTATCTCGAATAACTATGGACCGGCTTAGCCAAAGAATAACTATATGATCAAGATTGGTGTAGCAAGTTCTTAAATGTGTCCTGACTTCTACACTTGGGTATTGTGCTCACAGTATGAAGGTGTGAAGTATGTATTTGATAATTAGCCTCAGCTCAAAACTATCTCAAGGCTCTCTGATATTTCCTAGAATTAATAAGCATTCATCTCATCTTAAACTTCAGCATTTTTCCATTACTTCAAACCTATTCCATTGTGTCGCCATTTATTACACTATGATTCGTATGTAGTTTTTTATTGACAGATTATTGTAGTTCCAGCCTTTAGTTAGAGTGCAACCTACTAATCAGACATACCTTAATTTTATGCATTAGAAACAACAAGGCTTCACCGACATTCTGTTGTCATTAGCCCTGGTGCTTTTCAATTTCTTTTTTCGTCGGAAGCACGACTAAAAAAGGGTCATCCGTAGTGCTTTTGAGAGAACTCGAACCGTATATATGTTCTCCAGCATCAAAAACTACTTAATTTTCATGTTCTGAATATGTTAAAACACATGTGAATAGTTGTACGGTCCTATCGCAGGGGCTTATTCAATATCTGGTTGATATAGCAGTGCGAATAGCCTTTCACACAAGTCAACTGATTTGATGTTTAACAACTCTGCTTAAGTAATACATAACTTATAAACCTATATTGCAGAATTTAAAATATTCCCGTAAAACTGATGTGAACATGCCATGTTAGAAATGAATTATTGCAAATCCGGTCCTGGTTTGCGAGACGTTTGTTCTAAACAAGCTTTGAACTTCGTCAACACTTTATTCTGATCTTGACCTAGTTACATTCATTCTTTCTTACTCTCTCTTTGCTCCTGGTTTCCAGTAAAACCTAACACTGGAGGGTTGTCCTCAATAAATTCTCACTCGATTGTGAAATTTATGTGGTCTTGATATCCTTTGATTTAAGGTCGTAACATGAGCGAATTTTCTATCTCACTCGTCTTGTAATCTGGAAATTCAGACATGAAAGTATGAATATAATCGCCTTGAATGATCGTTTGTTTAGGTTTCAGTGTTATTCGGATGATTCTACTGGTATTCGCACTACTACTTTCCATTTCTCACCTGAGCAAAATTTACCACATATGAAATGGGAACCTCATGAAATCATTTGTCTTGGTTTGATAAACAACGAATTGAAACATCTTAAACTACCTGTCTAACTAGAACTTCTTCGTTTCACTATTCTGAAAGTGAAATTGCTCTATTGATCCCATCACACTAGATCATAATTGCATGGAAAACAACGTCTGTGGATCTCAGTTAAGAAAAATCTATGAAATTATGACAGCACAACTTATTCTGAAGACAGCCTATCTCAGAACATTCCGAAGGAACCTTTGGAAACGTTGTTTCACTAAAGAATGTAGTCGTTCAGTTTTTTACAGCCCAAAATTGTGATACTTATTCATCAGCGTTTTTATACATGTCCTTGTTGATCACTATAGCTATGTATTATATATTTTCTCGGTTTCCTGTTTGTCGTTTACGTATTCATTGTCTATCTTTGTTTCGCTTTTTGTAACTTATATATAATCTGAAACGAACTTATGCAGCGAGTTATTTGGCGTGAATATTTTAAACTCCATTCATTCTTTTCTGGGAGAACTGAACAATAAGCATGAAATTCCTAGAATAGAGCGTTTGACGGTCACACGGCTTACTCGGGGAGAGGAATCTAAGCATCAAGTTCACCCAAGGCTACTTCGTGTAACACTTAAGAATGCTACGGACGGAGAGGATGTCCCGCCAGCTAGTCATTTACTGAAATCCAATGGGAACGTAAGAATACTGCCCGACCCGCCGTATTCTGAGCTCAATCTCATCCGGAACATCCCTAAGGAATCTCGCGAAAAGTTTTTCAGCGGAAGAAATATCATTGTGCAAGGTGTACGGAAAACACGGACCCTAGTCAGGCGAACTCTGATATTAGGGGAGAGAAATTTACCAAGCAGTCCTTGAGGCTCAAAAACATACTGACTCAATATGTGACGAGACTAACCAAGAAGGACGGTGATCCTAGACCACGACTAATGAGGATAACTGTTCCATCCTCCCATATGGCGGCTGTAACTCTGGAAGCATTTTGGGCCAACAGACGTCAGTTGCTAACTGGAATCTATATGCACCCGGATAGGCCACATGACGCCAGGATCAAGCACAAAGGCAAGTTGGAGCTGACCATTCTACTTGTGAACTGTCTTGATCATAAAAGAGATGTGTACAGGACAAAGCCTACCAACCATGCAAACCTTATATAGGTGGGCTACCTGTCCATTCATGTTGGGCTCATACAGACAAACAGGAAGAAGCTCACGAGTTTCAAATTCAAAGCATAAACTGTTTACACATGAACTCCGCGAGTCTACCAAACAAAAAGGGTGAGCTGCGTGAACTTAGCATTGCTAATAAGATTCATCTGATAGGAATATCTGAAACTTGGATATCTTCTCATTTTTCGGACCATGAGCTATCAATACCTGGGATGTCTTTGTTTCGCAAAGACAGAAAAACAGGAATTAGGGGTTAAATAGCCGTACACGTACGATCTTACCTGGAGGTACACCAACCATGAGTTTAACAATATTGAGGAATCCATATGGTGCTCTGTAAGATTGTCTACTACTTCGAGGTGTCTAGTTGGGGTCATCTATAGGAAGCCCACTGCTGACATCGAGTATGAGCCGTATGCTGGAAAAAATATCCCGTTCTACGCGTCTCGGATTCACTCATATCCTGATTCTAGGGGGTCTTCTTCAATCTTCCCTGAGGAAAGGCGATCACGTCGTTAAAACCTTCGGTTTTGTCAGCAAAACTGAGCTAAGACATCCCAACAGCGGTTGAACGTGTCAGCTTTACAGGACTATCTACAACAGAAGGATTGGGATGTTCGCCTTCAACTTGATGTGGATGCTCATTGAGATTTCTTACTGCACACGCTCTTATGCGCTACAAAGCATTCAGTTCCTCAAACGGTCCCCAAAAACTACAAGAAACCTACGTTCATCAAGAATCGCACTCTTGGTTTGCTAAGCCGCAAAAAACGCTGTTGGGCGCAATACAGACGAACTGACAACAACGGCCCGTACAGTTAATACAAACATATAAGGAACATATGCACGAAGGCTGTAAGAGAAGACAGGATTCAGTACCAAATAAAGCTTGTCGATAAATTTGTTTGAAATCCAAAAAGCTTATTCAGAATCTCTTCGTCAAGCCAAAACTCGAATTTCCCAACTGTTGGGTCCGAACAGCCCGGCCAATAACGACAGTGACGCCGCTTACCTTTTGGCTGAACAATACTCACGGACATTTCAAACGGCCCACATCAAATATACTGATGAGAGTTTCATCTTTAACTGCACAGAACTTTCCGTAGTGAACCTGAGCGCTGACTTGGTGTTCCGGAAACTGCAGCACTTAAGAAAAGACACTTCTCCTGGCCCAGATATGGTCCATTCTGCTATAGTGAGGGAAGCAGCTTCAATCGTGGCAACACCGCTTAGCGTGATGTTCTCACACTCGCTAAGCCGAGGCAAACTACCGGAAATTTGGGAGCTGGCTCACATGACACCAATTTTCAAGGGAGATCGACGCAGCAAGCGACCGGTGGCTCTTCTTTCTATACCTTCAAAAGTCGTGGAGTCCCTGGTATACATGACTATTTACTGTCCTTAAATTCCTTCTCACCCCAGCAGCATGGTTTCAGGAAGAGTGACTTCTGTATGACGAACATGCTGACCGAGGTGGACAGATGGACAAGCATCCTCAATCGCAAGAGGAGGTTGATATCATTTACCTTGATTTCTCAGAAGCTTTTTATAGGTTTAACGATATGTCTTATCAATAAGCTCCAAACGATTGGGTATCAAGTCACCTCTAATTGATTGGCTCACTTCATATCTAAAAAATCGACGTTTTAAGGTCAGTGTTAATTTCACTTTATCTCATGTTATGGAATGTCCTCCAGGGTTTGGTTCTAGGACCCCTTCTCTTCTTGATTAATATAAATGATCTTCCACAACAGGTGTAGTCTGACTAATTACTTTTTGCCGATGACGTGATACTTTGGAGAGCCACGAAATCAGTTCGGGAACTCAAATGCAAGCCTTATTAAATGCGCCTTAAATCACTTAACCTTTACCCATGGGAGTATAGGCGTCTTAGAAGTGACCATCTGATGGCTTACAGCATCCTTAACACTTCTGTACATCCTCTTAAACACCTACTTAGTTATAGCTCCAACATAAACTTGAGGAGTAACACCCATATACTGGAGACACAACACAGCAGAACAAACTGTAAACCCAACTTCTACACCTCAGGAGTTATCAACTAAAATTCAGTAATGTGACACAGTGAAATAATCGCTAAATGAATATTCATCTTATCTTTCAATTGTGAATCTTCACGGTCAAGTTTGCTATAGTCACAGAGAACCAATTTAATTTTGTAAGCACGGGTTGTGGGTATGGGTTACAAGTCCGCCCTTGGTGTTTTCGTGGATTTTATATGTTATCGTGTTATTTGTTAAATTCGTCTGACATAAGCAATTAATTTAGTTTACTTACCAGAACTTTATTTTCCTTAGTTTGTAATATTTTATAAAACGATTTTTTCTTAAATGGCACACAACAGAACTGAACTTCCACATATACCAACAACTAAAGCATCCGTGGTTTCTTATCCCCATCAGTCCATAGATTATATAAAAGAGATACCAAAATGTGACCGTCAGAGCTTAGTTGAATGGAGATTAGGCGTCCAGGAATCCATTACTGTCGGAATACTTGAAAAAATTTCACTTCTAAAGGCTGATATGATTGAACATCTTAAAAGGTCAAACTTTCTGGAGCACGAACAGAAGTCTCAAAAGGATATTCTTATCAACGAAATTAAAACCCTACTTCAAAGCATTGAGAAAATCGATTTGGAAGTTCGTGTAAGTGGTTGGCTGGACGTTTTATTTGTGAGAATGATTTTTAGGTTTCTTCTCTTTTGTTTAATTAGGTAATCAAGGATTGCTTGTCTATTTAAGAGATCCCTTAATTGCATTTAGTAGCGACGCAGTTGACGGCTAATATTTCCTTTGGTTTCTCAGCATGATTTTAAGGGTGTATTTTTGTAAAGTGAATCGACACACGTAACGCAAGTGGCATATTACACTTTTCGTCACTAAAATTTAGCCTCTTGTCACTTTTCTTCACTTTAAGTGAAGTTACCTTTTGTGATTTTCTCCCCAAGTGTCTGAACAGCATATTTTCTCTAAATGAAAATTAGAATGTTCGCTAATAGTCCTAGAATTGTTATAAATGTAAGAGCTTAATGACATACTGAGAATAAACAAACTTTCAGGTTGACATAGTGGAAGTTTACGGATTTCTGTTTTTCAGACTGGAAATTCAGTGCTAAACTTTTATATTCTGGTTTCATAAACCATTGCCAATTAACTCTAAACACTTACGTTTTCTTCCATTTTATGAACATGATGAATTAAGCTCATGTACTTTTTTCCCTTCTACATAATACAGTGTTTCAAAGGTGTCTAAATAGCTCGACAGTTTCCAGCTGGAACTTACTTTTAACTTTTTTTTGAACTGCCTATGTATTCTTTTATATTGGGTTGGGGGCAGAATATCAAACATTTTTCGCCTGCTTTCTATTTTGTATTTGTTTTTCATTGTTTGTTGATAGTTTTACGTTTAGTTAGGTACAAAAAATATCGTTGGAAAAATCCTTGATTGCGATACATTCGTATACATGGTTATCCCTTCTTCCATATCCGTTTTAGAAAGTTCTCAGGATACATATTTTATGTTGGTATGCTTAAGCAACTTCTAGTCTGTTTACAACTAAAACGCTGTCACGCTTATATGAAAGTTTCCTTCACATAAACAGTTTGTCTGAAACGTCTAGTGGCCTGTATATCAATAAGTACATATTGGTCAGTGAGTTCTTCACAATGCTGATAATTTTGAGTTTTATATTTGATATCTTCTCATTTTTTAGTGATGGAATCTAATCAGTTAAGACCTAAATTGAACCTATGTATGAAATAAACTAGTCTAAAAACTTTTCCTGCCTCAAAGATTTACAGTTTTATTTTATAACAAATACAAAGTTAGGTTTCTATGTTATTTCAACCCCAGAAAATGTGAGGATGTAATAAGTCAATTAAAGAGTGAGCAAGCAAACGACTATACAACAAACAGGTGAGAAGATTCATGTAGTTATTCACTCAAAATCGACACTTAAAATTTAGCATAAATATGTTCACCTCACGTTTTGCACCAGCAACTGTAACAACAGATTATTTACTGTTTATAACTAAGTATAACTTAAATAATCTATGCAAAGTCTTGAAAAGAACCTTCATATGCTGTTGTATTCATTAGACCTAATTTATATTATGTTCCTTACTCCAAGTTTTTCCGGTTAAAAGCTGTCAACAAATTCAAACCTGCATAGTTGTCATTTGACTGAGCACTAAAAAGTCTTGGATCAATGCTCATAAACTAACTTAAAACATTATCTTTGCTAACAGTGGGGACCGAAATTTGTTACCGATTTGTAACGAAAGCAACATTAGGTTTTATTTTTGCTAGTTATTGTACATCATAACAGAGGCGATATAAGTTTATTGATGAAATGCATAGGACGAATTTTATTTCGGCGAAAGCATATCAAAATATTTTCCTACATAGGGCTTTTTGAAGGAGACCAATAAAATACAATTTAAAAAATAATTATGTGCAATATAATAGTCATATTGTTTACTTACACGTCTACTTACATGTATTGATCAACCTGGTACATCAAAAAATGATTGATTTTTTAGTTTTATATCAAGCTAGAACAAGAAAATTGTCACTGTTTGCCTAAGATGACACCTTTTGATAGGATATAAATCAAGAGGAACACTTTTTCGAAGTGTGGTAAGCTTGGAGTAGAAAAAATGCAACCCTAAACTAATGAGGTATTAATTTGTAATATGAAGAGGATGTTGTAACTGAAAATCTTATACGTTTTAAGATCGCTCTATATATAGTGGATAATTCTTTATTTTATTTTCTACTCAGTGCATCTATCCACATTATTTGGATTAAACTCTTGTTTTTTTAATTTGTTTATTTTGTTGATTATTTTACTCACTGCTGTCATAAAATACTGCTGGTCATAGTAAGACGTTATTGCATTATTAGTAATCTAATCATTTGGGTAAGCTTCAAATTAACTTTTAATTAAATAAGTTTCCCGTTTTATCTAAAGTCTAAAATTTTGCAGCATTTATTGATGAATTTGTCTCACTTTGCATTAAAAAAAGAAATTTGAAGAAAATGTACGAGATAAATGGTCTACGGTGAAAGATGCCGCTGTAAACCTAAAAAATTTAGAAAATCATCATTTAACTAGCTTAACAGATGTAAGGTGAGCCATACTCTTAGGGCTATTAATATTCAGTTTCTTTTTAAAATGTATTTTACTTAGAGTACATTGAAAAGCAGGAACAGTAGGAAAGAGATTATTTATAAGTTTTGGTCACAATCATTTGATATATTTTTCAAATTTAACGTGATCTCTTTAGAAGTTTTAGTAAAGGCTCATAACATAAAATTATTGATGTTTTAAAGCTTGCAAAATATTTACACACTTTTCTTTGAAAAATTTACTTACTATATTAAAGTACTATAAAGAAGTTAAAACAAAGGAATAGAAAAGCGGTCAGTGCTGAGATTTGTTGTTTTCAAATCAATTTGATTCAGAAAACTAACTGTATTCAAGAGTAACTTGTTTTAGTTAAAACGGTTATATCTACTATTGTTCAGAAATTATTTATATGTCATTTTAGACTGTCATTCGATCTCAAGTACTTGTTGCATATAAAGCTAGCTTTCTGGACGGAACCGTTTTACTTGCTGGCTGGGTTATTAATGTTTCTCCCAAGGATTCCAGTTTGAAAGTCACTGGAAGTCCTTTTTTACAGTAGTAGTCTGATGAATGCTACTAATAAAATTGTTTTCAAGTAATATTTAGCGGAACGTGGAGTGTAAGCTAACACAGTCGATAAACTGAGAAAAAAATTTCAGTACGTCAAACATCACGACGTGTGCAGGACGTTTGAAGACCAGAAGGGAAGACATTTTAAAACTAACAAGATTGCAGAACACACTACTAGATGGAAATAGATGATCGAAAGCAATGTACATACTAGATAAATACGTTATACTCTCATCAAATTTGGTTAACTGAAACATATATTATTACTTGGTAATATTTAAACAATATATAAGTAAGTATACCAGTTGATTGCTTAATAGTATTAAGTGCAATTCCGATCCCTTAGGAAGTGTAAGTTCTCGCGATACTGAAAATACAACTTGCCGACAAGTTCTAACACGAAATTTTTATGAGGTTTCTGCGAGCCATCTTTATCTAATATAAAACTAAATGCACTGTAATATTAAGTCAACTAGATTAGTGGTCACAATACGACTTGAGTGGTTGGATTCGATTAGCAGTAGAAACTATACAGGGTGAAATCAGTTACTGCTCAGTAATCAATTTGTGGGTAAATATATCATTTTACAGGTAAAAGTTTAATGGCTAATTACTACAGTTCATATTTAAACATTGATGACACAAAGTTCAGCGAGGAGATCTCTTTTCAACGAATTTGTTATCAAGCTATACAATCGAATTTATGTATGAGATTTTTTTACGTTCCTTGAGGACATATAAACAAGGAATAAATACAATCGTGCAATCGAAATATTATGATACTAGATTACGTAGTATGAATAATAGCAACAAAATTAAAAAGTTAGCATCGAATTATAGTGTGAGTGTAGCATGATGATTAAAATGATTTTGTTGCAATAATTGAAGGTAATGGACGTGCGAAATTAAATGAAGTGATATCAAAAACTATTATGAATACGATCACGAGGATATGAGATATAAGTAAAGGAAGAAGGGTATTACAAAATGCAATAAGAATAACATTAATAACAATAGATTAAGCTCAAGGTAATGATAAAGATAGGACGTACTTCTTTTGTAGGTATAATTTTGGCTTGAGCTCATGGATGGTGTTTTAAGGAGTTGGATACGAATGAATTGTTTACACAACCTTTGAGTCAGTCTGTAGATAGGGAGAATGATTAGAGTCCATTAGATGTCGAAGAATGGAACTTCCAACGGCTTTCCTCTCACCCTTGTAGAACCACCTGGGGACACGTCCTCGTATGCGAGTTGAAAGCAAGCACTGGTTACACCCTATGTACCTAGCTCCACAAAAGTGTATGTCATATGTCTTCACGGAATTAGTACTTTAACATAAAAAATGTACAGCTTGATAATAAATTCGTTGACAAGAGATCCATTTGCTGAACTTCACGTTTTTAATTACTATGGTCTTAATTTTCCCTTAATTGTGGCTATAGAACTGCTATCATTCAAGTGTAAAGTTTAACAAGTTTTATATCTCTAACCAAAGTCTAAGTTTTCTACCTTATTTTAATCTTCATTCTTTTGTATAAGTTCTGAGTTGATAAGTCTGCTGGTGTACATTAAATTTTAAAGAAAACATAAATAAATAATTGTTTTAATTATTTGTTTAATTTTTAAAAAAATGTGTGCACAGAAGTCGTATAACACGTTGTGATCAAGCTATATCGACATTATCACAAAGAACAAATCAAACAATTGATGAAGTACGACAATTGGTAGATACTCATAAACATGATATAAATGAATTGAATGGTCAACTTAAATTACACGAACATAAGGTAAGAAAGACCTAATAGTCTTCACGTTTTGTTCATCTCTCAGTTAGTTTAGTGTCCTCATTTGGTATCATATGAAATGCTTAAAATATAAATGAGTAAATTTAGGGCAATAAGGAGTACGAAAATTGCTAACCCCAAGAATTATAGCAAGGTAAAGAATGGATTAGTTTCTCTTGGTTACAATTGTCTTGTATTCTTTAATCAGAAAATTACCCAGTCCAAACGCAACTGCCACCAAAAGTCATTGGCTTCATGATCTCATGTTATATTTCTATCTGTGAGAATGTAGCCTTTTTAAACTTGTCGCTATACTTTCTGGCGTGCGCGTCGATATATGCTACATATGGATATGTAAAACCTATTGGAACAACCTCAATCAAAAAACATTTACAGCCTCACTAACCGACTTACCGTGTCCTCCTACCACACTATATCTAATCTCAGTGTTGTTTCCTCAGTGATTTTATCATCAGTAAGAACATAATTTTAACCCACAGTTAAATAGAATGTCCTTTTTTAACCAGAAGATAGAACAATCTTCAGTAATCTGTGAACGATTCATGGATTATACTAAGTTGTTATTCGCAACCATTGAAACTGTTACGGTGATTAACTGAACAATCGTCAGTGCTCCAAGCAAATAAGGTCGATTTAGTATAGATTTCTTTCTAAATGTCACCATATTATTCCTATTACTTATAAGTTTCAAGCTTTACGAGACTTTTTAAACATTCACAGTTTTGAGAGTAACCGAAATGGACCTTTCGGCCACTATCACTAGAGGTTTTTGTGAATAAGCTGAAATCACCAAATATAGATTCCTTGTTTACTCAAGTCTATAATTTGACAATGAAACCTGAAAACGGGTGAACCAATTTAAAAACTATTAGTGACTTGAAATGAAGCTCTACGGTAAGGCAGAACAACTGTCCCATGCATCTATTTGAAACAGTCCATTTTAGTAACGGTTTTTGTGTTACATTACTCACTAAAAAAGTACTAACATCATCAAAATTTGATTTTCAAGTCATTCTGAATCGGAAAGCCCTTTTACAGGAATAACATAATAATGATATATCTAATCAAGCATTGGTATTAATATCTTCCATAGAAATAATGAAGACATTTAAATTGCCAGAATAAAGTGATTATTACCCTTTCTTACTATTTGCAAAGTCCTATTCAACCTTCCCTTTTTTACATTTTACGTTTTCTTATATTTCATTGATTTCTCTATTTCAGTGACTATAAATTGATATTTTATGTTCTCATTCATTTATAAATAATTTAACAAATTCTACATTTCCTAAGTTATTGTCTGTTTGTATGCACTTGTAATAAAATAAGAATACTCTTTCCTCAGACCTTTTTTGACTGAATTGCTTTCCGCAGTCCAGTGAAGCATAACATTTTTGTGTTTCCTAGCAGTAAAGTTTGTAAAAATGTAACCTTACTTCAGGTAAATCCTACTTTTATTCTTCCTTTCACCACGTTTATAGTACACAAGATTATGGTGTCTGACTACTTATCTGTACTTTAGTCATCTATATATAGTGTATTTACTAGTTTCATCACATATAGAAAACGATTCTTGTTTTGATAAAAGTCAAATAACGTTAGGTTGTGTTACTATAGTAGTCAGCGGAGAAACATAAATTTCGTTGTTATTTGATAGCATTGTAGTACTTCCTGTCTGTTATACTGAATAAACGGATTTAACTTGGTGCTTTTTATAAAATAATTATTTTATTTTCATTAGTAGCTAACTTCTAGATGTTTTTTGAGGTTTAAGAGAGAAACTCGAACGTATGTGACCAACCATTTTGAAAGCGAAGCAGTAATCTAACATTTATATTGGATAAGAATAGTGTTATTTCCCAAATGCTTATATCTTTTTGCTTCCTTCTTAACATTCCTTCCAGTTTCACAAGATTGAGACAACTAAAAGCATTGCAAGACCTGATGCAAGTGTGTATTAGTGTGAATCATCACAAGTGACTTCTATATAGGGAGTGTAAATTAGCAGGATTATCAAAATCTTGGAAGTCGAGATGATGCCACCAATGTTAGTGATAACCCACTTACCGGGAAATACAGTTCAGTTTCAATGAAAGAAACCGCAAAATTAAACATATATTCGAGATTCAGATGATAGTAGAAAACTAGTTTCTTCTATTATGACCGTTTTTAATCATATAATCTGTTGTATTTCGAGACTGGTTAGTACCATCGCTTAGATTGACCTATAGGAATGAAGTAACTGAGAATTTCATTAACTCTGGTGATTTGGAGTCTGATGAGATCTCCGGACGGATTCAGAAACCCCGATTGGGTTTTGCCAACTTGCGTCACTTGTGGCGTAGGCGAGATATTCTCCTGCGGATGAAGGGACTTAGCATGTTGTTTAGCAGCTCAATATGTTTTACTATATGACTATGAAGTGTGAACCTTAAAAATGGAGGATTTTTTAGGTTTCTATTATTGATGACAGTCTCCTTCGAACGACATCTCGAGTTTATTATCAGCGCTGAGTGAGTAATGTGGAAACCAAACCTAAAGTACAAGGTAAAGAAGCTAATTAGGTTAATGAGGTAATGAATCTTTATCGGCCGAAGTGGGTGGGATATGTTTCAAGTATTCACGACCACCGCCTACATCGATACTCAATGTTGTCTGCCGTAGTAATAAGTCAGAAGAGGGCTTGAGATGGTAAAACAAAATGTAGCATCAGCCCATGAAGCCACTAATTGTTGTACTAATTCATGTTGGTAAGTCGAATCTACCAGGTTTATGTTCACTCGATTTTTGTGACCAGTGGTTGGAGATATTGAGAGACGTAGCTCAGATTGATCTATTTACCATTTTATCTTGGATCCTGTGTTTTGACATTGTTCGATACTTATTATTCTGAAGGGTCATTCGCTCTTCTCAAGTCATATTCCTTATGAGCCATATTTCTTTTACTGTCAAAAATACTGTTTCTAATTTTTGGTCTTCACCTTGATCCATTCGTTTCGCTGTATTGGCGTAATGTGGTAACTTGAACTAGTACACATATACGCCATGTTTCACGATACTTAAGGTAGACTTAGCGCCAAGTGAAGATTGCAGTTATCTTGCATCAAACCAAGAAAATATATAACATAAAGTTATAAGTTGAACTTCCACTAATATTTTCGTGCAACGTCAACTTTTACGGTTATATTATAATAAGTAAAATGACTTCATGTGAAATATAGGGTGATAGTTAATATTTCTCCCCAGTGCAGTAGTTTAACCTTCAGATGACTATGGGAATATTTTAAAATAGCATAAGTTTAGGTATTTGAATTCATTTAATATACCCAAAATTTATCATTTGAACTGTTTATTTTCCTCAACTTTCATAGTTTGCTGAAATAACAAATCAAATTGATCGTGACAATGTTAAATTTAACTCCGCTGTTCAGCGCTTAGAAGAAACATTATATAAACAAATTGCCGATGTTGAAAGACGTTTACAACAAAAGATCAGTGAATTACAGAATGAAATTCAGGTATCTATTCAGCAATGTCAAGATGAAAAAAGATCCTTAGAATCACGTTTGCTTGATAGTATACACACAATGGCAGCAAACCTTGAAAATCGTATTGTGAGTGTTAACTATAGAAATTTTAAAATATTTGGTTTAAAATAAATTTTATTATTCCGCTTAATTTGGTAAAATTCCTTGACACAGAATAACAATTATTCACTAATCAATGTGTACAAAGTGATATGCAATCTGTTGATTGCGTTACAGCAATAATTACTGAATATTTAGATTAGTAAATACATCAGTAAAACAGATATATTCCATGCTGGACATTGTAGCGGTAAATAAATCCCCAAAATAAATAGCTCTGTAAGTTTTCGACATTAGATGCTGACCACAGTTTTAATGGACTCATCCAGCTGAAGGCGCTTGGTCAAGCATCCGTACCAGATCACGTGTGGGAACGCCGTGCTCAACATCTACCGCAATCGCTAGCCAGATTAGTTCAAAAGATCCTCGATATATTGATAGCTTATCAAATATATCTTCGACCTCCTCACTTCTGTCTTTCGATTTCACTTGGTGGGTACGCTTCATAATAGAAGGTGTTACTGGTTAAAGCGTTGTCAAACTCCGAATACCTGTGGCATCTTCAACATAATACATTTTGATGGTGAATATTATCGCTCATTTAATTGTATCAGGAACTAATGAGTTGAATGTTGTGATTCTTGTAGTAAACATTCTAGCTATTTAATTTTTAAGTAAATATTCATTTTTATATTTTAGTTTATATCATGTAGTTAAATAGAAATTACACTGTAACATTAACACTTTCTTGTATAGACAATTGAATGATTTAATGCAACTGTGGATGTAAAAAGCACTTTCATTACTTAGCAATGATTTCATTTGCTAAATTATGATTCGTTATACCATATAAAAGGTATATACCGTTCAGTTTTTATTTTATCACGATAAAATATCTATTGTAGAAAACCTTTTATGATTATTCAATATGCTTATTGGTGAATTACGAAATTATTAAATGTATTCTACTATATAGAAATATAATACATGTTATAATAGCAAAAATGGAAACATTATTCAGTCAGTCAGTCAGCAGCAACGTAGAACTTCTTCTTTACGTACATCAGTTGGAGTTGCCATACCACATTAGCACAGAGATACAATTGCCGATTCAAATCTCATATTGACAGAAGTAGTAAAAATATAAGCAGTAATCGGAAACATTAGGGTTTAAGGATGTTATTCAAGGAGTATAATCCAGTAAAATAAATTTGGAAAGAGAAAAAAGGGAAATGAAGAATTCAGAAGATTAGAATTTGGGAGAACACAAAGAGTGGATGCACCTGCGTCACTATAAACGATTTTGACCCATGTCATTCAAGGTCTCTAATCATAGATTGCCATCATCTCGCGGATCCCAACCAGGTAGTCTACACCTACCAACATGGCTTAGTCCACTTGTCAGTGACTTCATAGATTTAAGCCATGTCATATTAATCATGAATTATATGCATTTTAATTTTAACAAAAGACTTTTAAAAAATAATTTGTGTTTGTGTATTTATTTAGTTAAAACAAGAAAAATATTTACTGACACAATTGATACTTATTACATAACACACTTTTTTTCACTACTGTTCTTATTCACTGACTATACAAAAAGAAACGTGTCTAGTACAATTAAGGCAACATATAACACGATATACATAACAGATGAACTTTATTGCAAAAAAGTAAAAAAATGAAGAAACTATTAAACAGAACCAAGAATAAATAGTAAGAAATGACAAAGTACGTAGATAAATAAAATCGAGATATATTTTGTTCAGTTACAAAAACTATCTTATTAATATGAGGATAATCAACCCTTCTCATTGTTTACTAAAAGTGCAATATTTGGGATTTTCGAGCACTTTTCTGTTTATTTAGTGAATGAGGACTACATATAAAAGCATAACTTTTATTAAAGACTTCATTTTAATAATCAAAAGCTTTATATCTCCCATAAACATGCTACTGTAATGTATCACAACTTGCTGGATAGAAAAAAATTAGATTAAGTGAAAGCTAGAGTTTGAACTGAAATCTTCAGTGAAAATGATTTGAAACACTCACCTACTGAATTAACGGAAAAATGACCAAAATGCTTGATACCGCACACAAATCGAAAATCGAAAAACGTATACGCTACGAATTCCCACACACATACCATATCCCTCATAGTGTTTGTGAAGAATACATTGAAAAATTGTTGAGGACGTTAAATCCCCAGAACTCACTTGGTCCTAATTTTGTAATTTTATTCTGAAGATTTGGATTTTATGTTTTCGTGCCAAGAGACGCTTAGTTGACCTACAGTTTACATTTTCTACTCGGAGATCCTTGACTGTCATTGGCTGAGGGATTTTTTAGTCTTCAGTCTTCAGTAATAAGGATAGGAGGTCTATCGACCTGTATCAATCCTTGCAGTTTGTAATACTGTAGAGGTCCAATCTCGTCTTGAATGTATCAACAGAAGGTGGTGATATTACGTGTTCCGGTAGAGAATTCCAATAATTCACTACTCGATGAGAGAAACGAAACTCCAGACGTAAAAGATTTGATCTCGGTTTTTGAATTTTTTCGAGTGTCCTCTCAAACGATCAGTCCTAGACGGAAGTAAAAGATAAGACATGTTAATACCAAGGTCATCGTTCAGTATACGATAAGCCAATATCAGATCACCCCGTATTCTACGGTAAGATAACGGAGATAAGTTGAGGTGTCTCAATCTGTCTTCATAAGATAGTCCAGAGAGACCTTGTACCATCTTAGTACCTCGTCGTTGGACTCGCTCTAGCATATCTGCTTCATACTTGAAACAAGGACTTGCTGCTTGAATTCCATATTCTAAATGTGGTCGCACATAAATAGGGTATAGTAATCTAAACATTTCATCATCTAAATACTGAAAAGACCTACGAACAGACCATAATACCCTATAGCCTTTCGCAGCAGCAGCCTTACAGTGACTAGTGGTTTTGAGATCACTACTTAATATGACTCCCAAATCTTTATAGTTTCTTACTTTGGGTAGTACGAATCCACGTATTGTATAGTGATACGATTCATCATTGTTATTTAATTGCATCACCACACTCTTATTAGGATTTACTTCAAGTGACCACCTGTCTAACCATGCCACCAATGAGCTAAGATCATTCTGTAATACTATTCTATTTGACATACTGTGTATGGGTCTCCAAATTTTTAGTACGCTATTTTGTGGCTTTCTCAAGGGCGTTTCTATCATTGTATAAATAATCTTGATTTGTGTTCTTAGTGACCTCGTATTTCTGGGTGCTTGTAGAATACATTCTCTACACCCCATCATGACCTCTTGATCTAGCTAACAGGGCCGGGGACAACGGATTAGAATAGCCTATTGTATCACTGTATCTTTGACTTTCGTTCCGTTTACCGAGTAAGGTGAACTCGTAATAGCACTTAAGCATATCAAAAATATTATAGGATCTCTGTTGGCCTCTATTTTGACCCATGTTTGATAATGCCTCATGCAACTGCTTTTCATGATTTATAGGGCCATATCTAGGGACTCATGCTAAATCAATTAACTCTCGTTCAACACAGTAATCTGTTCGAATAAGGCAAATATTACATTTTCGGAATGGTATGAGTATGTTCTATTTCAAGTTTTTTTTAATAATCGCAACAATTTAAAATTAAAAGTTTTGGTCTACTTTAGTTATTAAGATTGAAGTGAATGTGTAAAACCAAACAGAAAATCATAAGAAAATGAGACAGAGACAAAATATGATATTAATCATAGTAGTAAAAAGATGATGAGTACTTACATTTTGAAGGTGAAGCGAGATGAGGTGAGGATTCGATCTTATTCTTCTACTTCATAGACAGCCTCTTTAGAATAGGAATGTCCGAATTATCAGGATTATCCACGTATATAAAAGGAATGAATTTGTGTGATAATGTTTGAATGATTTTTAACTGTGATTAATGTATTGATGAGTAGTTTATTTGTTTAACCTCATTAGCCCATCATAACTGCATAAGCATTTAACCTTACTTTCCGATCAATTTTTCTTAACCTTGTTTTAACCTTAACTTGAAATTGGTTTACGTTGGGGATAACAAAGCTCTATGATAAAAACTAGTCAATAGGCTAACTAACACGATTTAATGAAGTCATTATGTTATCGAACCTTTAGTACTTCTTCAGTTTTCATGCATTTTGTTTCGTTTATATCGAATTAGAGCTGCTTTTGCATAAAAAAATCATTTTTTGTAGACTAAGTTTGTTTTGTGATTATTTATTAATATCTATGTTAAATCAATATTTGACTTATAGTTACACTATTCACAGGAGTTTTTGAAGCTTTAAAATGTATTTTGAAGGATGGTATATTAATAATAAGTAAGCATTTAAGCTATCTGATGAAATTCGAAACTTATATTGGATGGTTTAGTTGAAATGAATATAACACATGAAAAGACACTATATATTTCAGCATGATACATTGACTAACCGAAGAACAGTTTGGAACAGTTTTCAGAGTCTTTGAAACAGTAAGCCTCAAACTCCTAATTTCTGGATGAACACATTTAGTGTAATGTTTGTTTTCTGACTGATATTGGCAAAACAGTTGTGATAAAAGTTGTATAGTTTTAAGTAATGCGATTAAAAGTTATTTTCATTGACCTAAATCCAACATTTCTTAATCTGATTGTAAGAATGATTGTAAGAATATTTATACACTTTAATCCTCTAACTTGGCTTATTTTTTTGTTAATTTCGTTTGATTTCTTAAGTGTTGTTAGTATTACTGTTTTGATTGCTTTGATCATTTCCTGTTTTATCTATCGTAATCTATGTATATGAGATGTGCCTATTTGCAAGGATATGCTATTTTTCTATCCCATCTGTGTCTTTCTTTACTGATTGCTTTTAAAAATACAAACGAGTTATATCCATTTTCTTTAAGAAGCTGAAAATCTTAAACGTTTGTTTATCTATTTCTGTTATGCTAGTGTTCGTTGAACTTCAGGCTTTTGAAATAAATCGGCCTTAT